ACTAACTAAATGATATGAGATGATATAAATGATATGTATATGAATTATATAACTAAAATTAAATGACTGTAATTACAGATTTAGGTTAAATAAAGATGTCAGTCTTTATTTTTCTTCTTTTTAGGAAACAAATCAAAGAAAAAATAAATTCTACTGTTCCTAATATTCTGTATGTTGCTCAAAAACAAAATATATTGTGCTCAGCGGAAAAAAAGTTTTTTTTGTTTTTTTTTCCCAGTCATTTAAAAATAACACATTTTAGAGCTGTAACGACAATACCGTGATACCGTGAAACCGTGATATTTTTGCTTAAGGTTATCATACAGTCAAAATCTCATACCGGCCCATGCCTACTGGTGTCATTTGAAAATTCAAATCTGCATATGAAACTGCATTAGAAACGGTAAACCTTTCGATATCGTCTCTTATTATGATACAAACATTCAAATAATCACTGAAGTAACTTGCATAAAAGTTCATAGTTTGGATCTGACGCTGATGTCTACAGTATCAGTTAAAAATAAAAAAAAACCTTTGAAATCGCATATTCTCTGAGTAGGTACTTTTTTTGAATAAGCTCTTACTTTGCAACTATTTAAATAGTATGTTCTATGTAGTATATGTACAGGCGTACTACATTAGTCACGTTGCTACTGTCATGGGACCTACAAAGTCACTTGGGTCGCTTCACTGCTACTCCTCTCATATGGCCTCATGGGATAAAGTGTCCATTGGATGCTCACTTTAAACTTTTTAACTTAACATTTTAACATGCGACAAACTGATTTCAATTAAAGATTTTACATTTCAATTAAAGAACTCTTTTCATGTTTGCACTAATCACTTTATTTCAAATTTAAACCATATTCCTTTAAGGAATCAGACATATATAACAGTATTATAAATACACTCTAAGTATTAAACTACATTTGATTCCTAAGCTTTAGTTTGCTGTAGACGCTCTAATGTCGTCCATGGCCACTGTAAGCACCAATTTTGCACTTTATGTCCTACTGTCACGGGGTTTATATAACCAGAAGAATACAAGACAAGAGTTTGAGACGTACTGCTTTAAAATCCCTATCAGTCACTCATTTCTGTCTATTGTGCAGTAGCGAACTGACATGAGGAGGTGGGGCAGCCTGCGGCCTGTTCCCATGACAACGGTCCGGATGAAATGTCTTGCTCCGTCAGGGCTGTGATTTTAGTAATTGTTGAATCCCAGCAGACAGAGAGAGAGAGACGGCAGTAACCTTGAGCTGCGGCATTCAGCTTGTATTTTGTGAAAGTACTGAATTAAACAGCAGGCCTGCAATGAATTACCCATCAGCCCCTGCAGCTGCCATAAGATAGAAATGTCAGGTGAACGTTAACAATTCTGCTCTTTCCTGGAACGTCACGGACCGTTTGAGGATTCAGAGGCCTGATTAGACCTGTGTGGGACAGAAATGAGTGTAAAATACTCTTCACACATGATAGAGGAACAAGACTGAAACATTTCCAGCAGGAGTTTATGATCAGTCAGAAGCTATAAAGCTTATTCTGGCCTGGAGCCCCATTATGCTTTGTAACTATAAACTGAAGCTCCTATTTTTAGCTGTTTACCAGAACATTTAAAATGCAATGGTCTATTTTTGTGGTCCACAAAGGAAACAAAGTCATTCAGGTTTGGAATGACACAAGTGTGATTTGTCATAGATCTTATAGCTGTTTAAACAACTGCTGTATTCACTGAGAGTCAAATCGGACATTTCCGAGTATTATATTTTGAGAGACATTCTGTGTGGCCTTATATTTCCTAATGTAATGAAAACAAAATACTTTTTAATGAGTTTATTAATTTTTACTTGTTTTCCAGTAAAATAACTTAAAATCTTTACGATTAATTTACTTGTGAAGCAACACCACATAAGATATTAAGCCTTGTTACGAGTTCAAACTGGACCACCATATTAATTCAAGAAAATTTTGATTCTACAATTCATCAATCAATCAAAAAAATTTCATGCAAGCCTTCCCATGGCATTTTTTAGTAAAATGCTGTAGTAAAAATTTACAGTATATATTGTTGTTTATTGTTATATTGCCATAAATACACATCCTTATTCCGGTGCAAAAATATCTACAGGTTCTATGACAATATTAGTTCTCTACTTTTCTCACATACCCAAAATAACCAAAAACCTGTACATGATGAAACCAAAATAGCTCTTAACACAGAAGTTCTTATATAATATTAATAACATAAAAAAAAAAAATATATATATATATATATATATATATATATATATATATATATTACAACTCA